CTATTGAACTGACAAAAAAATACTAAAACTGCATCATTGCAACATCTTTCCTTTAAAACGTCTCAATCCAGATTTACCATGGAGTTCTGCAGTTTCTCAGGCAGCGGGTCCTTAATCTCCGCGTTGTTCTCCTCCGCCTCCTCCTCCTCCTCCTCTTCTTTGACTTCCACGAGCGCAGGCATGATCTTTGACTTGATCAGAGATCTGGAATTGAAAATGTGTTTGATTGGATTTTTCTCACGAAACGCATTAAAGGAGTAACAAGCTAAATTCAAGTTTTTTGTGTGTGTTTAAATACTCGRAGGAACAACTCACAGCAGCACAGACGGGTCGCTGCTCTGCCGGCTGAGGTGGTAGGAGAACACGACCAAAAGGCCACAAAAACCCGAGAACAGGGCGGGGGTGTGCTGCTCGTCCCACGGCTCCTGTGATGTCGCACACATCAGGGATTATCAGATCTGCTTTTTACAAATCTGCCACTGTCAGTCCTTTTTTTGCTTTTTTTTCTCACCTTGAGAGCTCCAAAGCAGAAACCGTAGAGCAGAAACAGAGCGATCAGGCTGCGGAGGATGCTGTAGATGGCAGAGACGAGGCTCGTGGCAGCTGAGATTGACACATTACATCGGGGATGAAAACATACTTAGTCAGGAGAAACAGTAACAAGATACGATCGGCTGGCTTAATCAGAATTTAGCAACATATTTCAACAATATATAGTGAAGAATATGAAGCAGCTGCCATGCTCTGATGGCTACCTGGGATTTTCTGTGTTCAAGTCTCCATCTATTACCTGGATTTATTTATGAAAAATAGTAATCACTGTTATTAACCTGTTCCTCCGAAGACATGAATGTCGACCTGCTCCAGCAGGTAGATGGTGAAAGTGTTAATCTGAGGGAAAAGGCCCACCAGAAAGGTGAAAGGGAAGCAGTAGGTAAAACCTGTTTCAGGCACAAAACAAAAACACATTTCTTATTATTTTTATAGACTGGACCCGGTGCAAAAAGTTCAGAAATGGATGCAGAAAAGCAGCTGGGCAGATGTGAAAGAAACACGTTTGCGTTCCTGCTCACCGACGAGCAGGTCTCGTGTGAAGCGCAGGACGTCGTAGCAGATGATGGTGACTCCGTACAGAGTGGAAACGGGCAGGTCTTTCCTCCTCAGCAGCTGCTCCAGGAGCCAAATCAGAGCGCAGAAAATACAAAAGTAGGCCGCTCGGCTGTAAGCAACCAGCTGGTTGTGGCCCTGGTGACACAGAGTTAGACGTTTGCTTGCATGCCTACTTCTAGAGTAGCATAAATTTGGGTTTTGGCGCGATGACGGCGAGTTCCAAAGAGCTTCTGATATTTATTGTTGATAAAGAAAAGTACAATAACAGGATTTTTTTTTAAAAAGTCAAGACATCTAATATCCAAATCAGACTATAATAAATAGTGACGTTTTACAACAAAGTTACAAACTCACATGTGTTGGTGACGCTGCATCAGGTTGAACACTCTGAAAAATAAATTAATAGAAGTCAGTATTGAGCTAATATCACTAAAGCACAAAAAAATTAAAGTCTTTTCATGCCAGAGTATTAAACAAAGATCATTATGATTAAGATTAAAGTTATAGCCTTTTAAACAAAACTTGTAAATTTCATAATATATGATCTGGAGTGTGTAGATGTTTCTAGTATGTATTGGAGATGACATTTGACAACTAACRCATTAAATTTCAGCGCAATATATGTAAAACTGGTTGAGTTACAATTCTTTTATGAGTTTGCTAAGGCTGATTATCATCCAGTGTTTACATCCTGAAAGTTTCATAAAATCCATCCAGTGTTCACTCGAAAAACAGATGTAGAGGATTTAATTTAAAAAAATCTGCCAACTAATGCAAAGTAAGTGTGTTACCTTTACTCAGTTCAGCTGAGTGCAAACAGTTGATTTATATTTTTAATTTAATCCGTTCTATCTTGTTTTTTGATGGAGATATTTTGCTAACAGATCTAGTGAACTACAACAGATAATGCCAAAGTTTTAAGCAAAGATCTTGTATGCGATGTGGAGGGTTTACCTTCAGTAGAGAATACTGGCAGCTGGCGATGACCAGGCAGAACTGAAAGACCCAGAAGTCTTTGAAGCAGCCGTGGTTTAGAAGCACAAAACCCAGAAAGGAAACCAAAAAGGCCATGATGATCGCAACCAGATTCTCCAGAACATCCTGGTTCCTTTTAAAAAGAAACAAACACAAGCAAAGGTAATAAATGGGTCACAGCAGTGCCTGTACGTGTAACCTGCTCACAAAGGAAAAACCCATGATTTAAACTAGACGTTACCGTTAGAGGACTGATTTAAAGGATGAGTCACCTGTCCAGAAGCGCGAGCAGAGTGAGTCGGTCGTACAAAATACTGATCCACTTCCCAGGAAACAGCTGAAGTTTGTAATAAATTTTCTTGGTCGGCTTCTCCTGCGTTGATGTCTCCGATGACTCGTCCAAGGAGTCCTCTTCCTGGTTCACAAGAACAACATTAAACACAAATCATTCAGCAGTCAAACACAGACACACTAAAATGTGTCAGATTCAAGTTCGCCATTTTTAACTAGCATGTCAAAGGATTCTCCTTAAGGTTAATTGGATCGTAGAGTACAGTTTGAAGAATGAAAGGAGAGAAGAAGGAGACCTGAAAGATCTCAGGGTGCGTCCTTCGTGGTCGCAGCCTGTGTGCAGGAATGATGCGCCGCTGGAAAGGACAGTCTGCGTGAGTGCCCGCCGTGCCCTCCTGACACTCTGAGTTGGACGACGTTGACAGAAGATCACTGACAACACAAACAGAGAGAGAACAAAGTTAGACAAAAAAAAAAACTAAARGATTTGTGTGTGGATGCTAAGTGCCAAATGATTGCTTAAACAGAGACTGAAACTGAGTTATTAAAGCTAAAAGACATAGAACATAAACTAAAGCTAGACTCGTTTAAACCTGAAAGAAGCAAAATGGCAGCTTAAAGCAAAAGCTGGAAAAAAGTTAGCAAACAGGCTAAAAGCAGCAAAACTCTAGCTGAAAACAACAAACTAGTTAAAGATTAGCTAAAAGCTAAAAGTAGCAAAACGGTAGCCAGAAGCTAAAATAAGCAAACACTTACTAAAAAAATGCAAAAAGCAGCAAAAGGCTAAAAGTAGCATAAAATGAATAAAGAGCAAAAATTGTTCCCTTTATAATTTGATTTTTTTAAAGAACAATGTTTTTTAAATAACTGATAAAAGCAGAATGTATTTTCCTATGATGAAAATATTTGTAAAGTTAGAAGTTAAAAGTTACAAATACCAAAAGTCAGAGCATCCTAAGCTTAACATTTTGACATTCAAAGGCCTTTTAAAGCAGAAAGTACACAGAAGCAGAATAAAGATTAAAAACAGGACAATAGTGTAAACGCTGATTCACACAACAAATCTGACCGAATTAATTATTTATAAGATGGTAAGAAATTTGCTGCAGGTGAAGCAGATAATAAAAAGGACTTGAAGAGGTGAAGAAATGATTTGAGCACACACCACATGTTGCCTGTGATGAGCTCTGCTCCTAGTGGCAGGTTGAGGGCTCTCTCTGCATACAGCTTMCGAGGTCTGTCCCCTGATGAGACACAAAGAGACAAAAAGCTCATGAAGCTTTTTTTATCAGGAGGAATAGTGTGGGGAAAATTAGCTTTACAAACAGGCGGGCGTATACAGGATCTTATGGCAAAGAGTGATCAAAACGCAGACAGGTTGGTGCTTACTGTGTACAGTATGGAAGGTGTAGGCCTCCTCTTTATTTGTGGCCTCGGGTCTGCAGATGACCTGCAGCATGGAGCTCTCAGACTGGGATGTTTGAGAGGGAAGGGAATCATAGTCCGGATCCTTCTCTGTCTGTGGACTGTAAAAAAAACTGTAAAAGTTCCATCTTTGARCTCCACGTGTCTGTGCTCATAACTACATGTGTTTTTCAAAAAGACAAATAAAAGGTATTTTCAGACATTTACCTGTCAGGGGAGACTATTGGGATGTGTGTTGGTGGGATGGCCTGCAGTGTGTTCGTTGGGAGGCTGGTGGGAGGTTTGGGGCGCTCTGATTTGTTCTCAGTGTTGGGTTCTGATGTTGCATCCGGCCTGGGGCTTGCACTCTGATTTTCTGTACAAAGACAAAACAGAAGTACTTCTTTTTACCGTGCTGTTGGCAGTAAAGGAAATAACACTCGTCTGAGCTTCCCTATGTGTTTTGCTCGCTGGCTAAAAAAAGCTGAATAGCGGTTTCTATTAATCCTTCTTCTACTGAAGCCTCATCTTTACCATGTTTTGTTTGTTTATTTGGTTTATTTCGAACATGTTAACTATATACAGATGATTATTTTAAGCAAAGAAGAGTGAAACAAAGAATAAAGAAGAAAAATTAAAGGAAATTCAAAGGAAAATTAAAGGAAAATACAAGGAACATTAGATTAAATTAATATTAAAAAGTGCACAAATTTGGCTACATTTTCTTTATGTAAAATTGACTCTTAATATTGCAATTCCCCAGTGTTGGATCTGGATGAGAACTTATAAACATACAGAAGTGACATGAATTTTAAAGTACTGGTGCTCAAAAATACAGAACTTTGTATTTATTTACGTATAAAGGTATTTTTCTTATGAAAAAGAGGTGTTAGAGAATATTGACTTACATTATCATGTTTCAGGAGATAAATAGAGCTGTTTTTTTTATCTGTGATGTCTAATAAGTACTACTTGTGCAACCATTGGAGATGATTAATAATAAAATGTCAAGGTTTAAGTATTGTAAAAGGAATTTTACATTTAATTAGAATGTTATACATTTCTTGTATAACTGATTAACATTAATTACTGTATGATTTAGCTGATCTAAAAGCACCATTGGTTAAATATTAATAGTGGAGTACCTCTGGGATCTATTCCTGGGCCTGTATCATTTTATTATCACTTTTATTTAACAAACTGCCCAAAAAAGCCAGTACAATTACAGCATCAGTCTTACGAGGGTATGTAAAACAAAAAGTTAAGGTTGGCAAGCTTAGAAAACATAAGAATTAGGGGAAATTTTATCAAAGTATACAAATTATTTCCTTATTTAGAGTCAGTTCATTATAATGCTTTCTTTATATTGGACTTAAAGGGCATAAACTGTCAATGGGTGTAAAGAGATGTAGATTAAATGTTGGTATCAAAAGGTGCTTACTACATTTGTATTTTGGCATATTTTATACTTAATGAATATTTTAATCTCATGTTAAATGTGTCCTTTTATATACTTTGTGTGCAATTTTCACAAAACCAAAAGAATTATTATGAATTGTTAAACTGTATGATCTTAGCAATAATGGGCAGTAAAGGGATTTTTTTATACGTATGTGTTATTGGTCAAACAATAAAAGCAATAGTGGAAATTTTATTCCAGCAAACATCTGCAGCTTTCTCTTTTTACATGTTTAGATAAAGAARATGGACCAACCTTCCTCTTCAGCAGTCAGTTTGCTGTCTTTCTTCTCTTCCTGTGTGCTCCCACCTCCTCCTCTCATACTGAGGGACCCTAACAAGGAAACAAACTCCAAAAAATTGGATTCGTTGGGAATCTGTCCCTCTTTGGCCTCCAGGTCGGACTTGGAACTGGTCATGGTGTTCTGGTAAAAAGAAAAAAAAATACATAACATATTTGTGAGTGTATTTTGTTTTTTATAATGACAAAAATAGAAGCAGGGGATAGAGCTGAGCGTACCACATTATGTGTTCGCTCTGAGAGCAGATCTTTCCCGCTGTCCATGCTTAGTCCTCGGATGTGGGTCCTTCCGCCCGGTCCGTAGCGGCCCACGGCCGGCGGCAAGCGCAGGAACCCTCGTGAATCCACGTTTGGCTCYGAAGGGTCCGTATCATCAGGGTGGGAGTGGACGTCGATGCCTGATGAGCTGTTGTCATTCATCAGCTGTGGACTTGGTGAGCTGTCGGACTGCAGTCCTCGACGCTCCTGGTCTGGATCCGGGTGCTCCAGCAGCGTGGAGGACTCGGGACTACTTGTTTCTCTACACAAGTGGAACTCTTCGCTCTGGCTCGTGGTCCGCTGACGTTTGGGCGTGGTGTCCTCCCTCTCCGAACGGCTCGCCTCCTCCCCATCCTCCTGCTTCTGCCTCTCCTCCTCAGGAGAGTCGAAGGTGATGACGGGGATCTTGATGTGACATTCTCCCGCGTCCTTTTGAGCCTTGCAGTACACACACACACATGCACACACAGATTTGTCGCACACACACACACACACGCACTTCTAAATGACAAATCTCTGACTTTTAAAAATCCGGTTAAAGTTGTTCTGTCTGACCTGTGCGTTCTCCAGAAGGCTCTGCTTGACTCTCTCCTCCAGCTGAGCAGCCGTCTGAGGGTCGCAGCTCATGGTGATTATGATCTTGATGGTGTCGCTGTCGTCCAGGTGGGCGGACGCRGGGCCCGGACTGGAGGTATCAACCAGAACCACCTCAATCTCATCAGAGCAGTATGCTTCCTCCATCAGATCAGGCTGAGACAYGGTACGAGGGAGAAGAAAATACTTTTTATATTAACTCTTAGATGTCACAACATGCAGATTTTGTGCGTCTCTTTTGGAGCCCACCTGTTCTGGAGACTCTGGGATGTCAATGAACTCGTCCTGCTCGTTGTTTGGGGTCTCCGGTGAGTTGTCCAAGTGCTCTCTAGCCCCCTCACTTCCCTCCTCGCTCTCGTCCCCGCTCCCTTTTGAAGGTGGCAACCCTTCGTCAGCCGTCTCCCCGTCCTCTGCCTCGTTCTCCTCCGTCTCTTCTGTTCTCATCTCRGAGTCTTTTTCCGGTACCCTCCCCTCCTCCGATCGATCGTTTTTCCTCATCGTGGACTTCTGAGCGTCCGCTCCTTCTGTCGCAGCTCCWGCTTCAGTTCTGTCCGTGTGCGTTTTCCTCAACTCAGCATCAGACTTGGGACAGGAGTCTTGTTTGWCAGCTCGGGACGGGGACCTCTGCTGGGCCTGCAGCAGCGGGGCGTCCTGCTCTGGGTTGGGGCTGGAGAGATCATCTGGAGAAAGCTCAGGCTTCGGCTGTGGACTTCCTGCCGCGGGCTTTTCTTCCGCAGGAACCTCCCTCTGTCCTGAAGTAAAAAGAAAGCATGCATTTATTTTTGGAATGGCTAATAATGTCATTTATTTTTTTAGGTTGTGTTGAAATCTAAAGAAAAATTTGTATCACCTTCAGCCGTTTTCACCTCCTCTGACTTGGAGCAGTCCTGTAAGAGAGAAAACAAACATGTAAGTGTTAAGCATCAGCAAAGTGTTTCTGTTACTCATCTTTCACATACCACCCCTATCAGTCCTGGGTCWGTCTCAGTCTGTTTCACCGTCACCTGGATCACTGGGCTGGGACGCTTTCGAGCCAGCGTTGTTATGGCAACGCCGTCAGGTACAGTGCTGCTCTTTCTGTTGGACAATAAATAAATAAACAAGAGATGGGGAGCAATGGAACCGTGACGCCACCTAATCTAAGGTGGGAGTTCATCTACTTTATTTTCATGAGACATTTTTTCCTAGCATTTTAGGTTTTTAGTATAAAAATAAACAAACATATAGAGCACGTGTAAAACTCAAGGCCCGTGGGCCAAATGTGGCCTGCGGGTGACTCACGTTTGGCCCGCCAAGGGGGTATCCCCCCCCAAAAAATAATATATATACACACTGGGGAGAACAAGTATTTGATACACTGTTGATTTTTCAGGTTTTCCCACTTGCAAAGCTTGTAGATGACTGTAATTTTAATCATAGGTACTCTTCAACTGTGAGTGATGGAATCTAAAACAAAAATCCAGAAAAATACAATGTATGATTTTTAAATAATTAATTTCCATTTTATTGTGTGAAATAAGTATTTGATACACCAGARAAATGAAACTTAATATTTGGTACAGAAACCTTTGTTTGCAATTACAGAGATCAGACGTTTCCTGTAGTTCTTGACCAGGTTTGCACACACTGCAGCAGGGATTTTGGCCCACTCCTCCATACAGATCTCCTCYAGAGCCTTCAGGTTTCGGGGCTGTCGCTGGGCCACACGGACTTTAAGCTCCCTCCAAAGATTTTCTATTGGATTCAGGTCTGGAGACTGGCTAGGCCACTCCAGGACCTTAAGATGTTTCCTACGGAGCCACTCTTTAGTTGCCCTGGCTGTGTGTTTTGGGTCGTTATCATGCTGGAAGACCCAGCCACGACCCATCTTCAGTTCCATTACTGAGGGAAGGAGGTTGTTGGCCAAAATCTCAYGATACATGGCCCCATCCATCCTTCCCACAATATGGTACAGTCATCCTGTCCCCTTTGCAGAAAAGCATCCCCAAAGAATGATGTTTCTACCACCATGCTTCACGGTTGGGATGGTGTTCTTGGGGTTGTACTCATCATTCTTCTTCCTCCAAACATGACGAGAGAGTTTAAACCAAAAAATTCTATTTTTATCTCATCAGACCACATGACCTTCTCCCATTCCTCCTCTGGATCATTCAGATGGTCATTTGCAAACATCAGACGGGCTTTGACATGCGTTGGCTTGAGGAAGGGCACCTTGCGTGCACTGCAGGAGTTTGTAGAGTGTTACTGATTGTTTTCTTTGAGACTGTGGTCCCAGCTCTATTCAGGTCATTGACCAGGTCCTGCCGTGTAGTTCTGGGCTCATTCCTCACCTTCCTCAAGATCAATGATGCTCCACAAGGTAAGATCTTGCATGGCGCCCCAGACCGAGGGAGATTTTCCGTTATTTTGTATTTCTTCCATTTTCTAATAATTGCACCAATTGTTGTTGCCTTCTCACCAAGCTGCTTGCCYATTGTCCTGTAGCCCATCCCAGCCTTGTGCAGGTCTACAATTTTATCCCTGATGTCCTTACACAGCTCTCTGGTCTTGGGCATTGGGGAGATGCTGGAGTCTGATTGATTGAGTGTGTGGACAGGTGTCTTTTATACAGGTAACGAGTTCAAACAGGTGCAGTTAATACAGGTAATGAGTGGAGAACAGGAGGGCTTCTTAAAGAAGAACTAACATGTCTGTGAGAGCCAAAATTCTTACTGGTTGATAGATGATCAAATACTTATTTCACACAATAAAATGGAAATTAATTATTTAAAAATCATACATTGTATTTTTCTGGATTTTTGTTTTAGATTYYATCACTCACAGTTGAAGAGTACCTATGATGAAATTTACAGTCTTTTTCTCTATTTCTGTATTTATTTCAGATTTAGTCAGAAATAAATAAATAAACGTTTAGTTCTCATCAGTGTTTAAAAGAGGACGTGTTAAAACACTGTTTAGTCAAAGTTAAACATGAAACGTCAAAGTGCCACCATAACGCTCMTGTGGCCCTCGGTGAAAATGAGTTTGACACCTCTGAAGAGAATAAAGCCAGTTTGAGTCTGAGCTTGTTGCAGCCATACAAAGTGCAAGAACTGATGGGTTTCCTTTTTAGCTGCTGACAAGTGTGTTACAGGAAATAACCTGACTGAAAATCACTRACATAAGTTTATTTTTTCACCAAGGATGAAAGAAAACTTTTGAAAGAGTCTCACTCTGAGACACTCGATCATGAAATCAAATCGGAAAGAGGCATTAGAAAAAACAAGGACAAAAAGGGAAAATAAAGACTCTGTATTTGCTTTTAATCTAGAATGAGTTCTGAGGCCTCAGTGTACTTTTTCTCATAATTATGTTGTTTCTTTAGGGATTTAGGCCTCTAGCCTAGATTTCACAATAGCCAGCCTAACAGCACATCAGCTGGAGCAAAAATACCATTTTAAATATATATTATCACCTGATGCCGGCTGGCAAGCAGGAGTCCGAGGCGTTGCTCTTCTTCTCCTGGGTCTTGCTGAGGTCGGACAGACTGCGGACCACCACTTCGCCCTCATCGAACATCAGGTGCAGCCGATAGTTGGCCATCTTGATGAGGATGAAGAAGACRGTGATGGAAGTGCAGTAGATGCTCAGAGCCATGGTAGTAGGTGGCAGGGCCTGTGGAGGGATGAACGTAAAACAGCTGAATGAGACTCAAGTCCTTCCTTTGCGTTTTTTTGGTCACACAAACTCCGGCGCATGTTTCAGCAAACCATAAAACCTGATTTGATCATTGTTAGGGATTACTGAAGTTTACTGATCCCAGACTGCGGATGGCTCAAAGCAAAAGAGCCGGAGGATAAAACTTAGAATCATGCATCAAACTGATACATGAGTCATACTTTGCTAGACAGAAATTTGGCTGTATCGGATGTTTGCACGGGCAGATTTACAACCTGGTGACGCGCCTCTCCTTGAACTTTTGTTTTGTTTTGCAGGAAACTCAATACGCGTGTCTGCACAAAGACTCAAGTCATCGTTAGTAACAAAATGATAAGAAATAAAGTGGTTTCACTTTCACTTACGCAAGGGATGTATCTCACAACAAGTGGTGTCCAAATTAATGTTTGAATCAAGACTCATTTGATTATCTGGACCCAGATCAGTTATTTAATTGTAGTCAAATTATTATTATTTTTTCTATGTTTACACATCATTTATTTTAGGCAGCACAGCTTTTCTAGTATTTACGGTAATTCTCATGTTTTGCTTCTTAGCCCACCAAGTCTGAAAAAAAAAACAATATGGTGACTTGATGAGAGAAGAAAATAACTTTACTTAAAGAGAACTTAAATATAGCCTAGAGCTTTACAGAAAAAAAATGTTAGATTGACCTAGTAGAGACCATTTCTTTAAAACTTTGACTCAGAGCTAGATTATTACAAGGGCTGCAGCTTGTAGCCTATTGTCACATCTGCTCCATCTGGAATAAAGCCTGATTTATGGGGACATTTTTTGGTATAAAAGACTGAAGATGCAGCTTGAATGTTCAGTGAAGGTTTGGTTGAAAGGTCAGAAAGACAACAAATTATTGAACATGTGATGGAAAGGATGCAGGTTTGTGATCCACAAGAACAGTTCCTGYCTCCACCACTGTCACATCCAGGAGCAGGCATGCGTTCCGTCACTGCGTGCACGCAGGGGGGGAAAAAAACACACTGCTACGGTGCCTCGCTTTTCTACTCACGGTACATGTAGTCACGTCATGACACTGTCACGTTCTCCTAAACCTGTTATGAAATGTGAAGACGATGCTATCTGCAGCTCACGCACCTCCGCGGCCTTGAACGTCATGTTCCTCCACGGGAGGAGCACTCACCAGATGGAGAGACAAGGGGAACATCAGGAGAAAGATCCACAGATAGAGGTGGCAGCAGTTGTTGAATTTGTTTTGGTCCGGGTCGTGGTACCATCCCCCGGTCAGAGATGCCCAGACTCCCTGACGCAGGGTCTGCACAACCTGGGAGCCCATCTCTACTGCCGCCGCCTCCTCCTCCTCCTCCTCCTCCTCCTCCTCCTGCTCCTCCTCTCCGCTCAGGTTGGACGGATGATGGTGGGGATGATGCTGATGCTGCAGGGCTACAATGGGTTGATCTCCTCTCTGTGTGCTGCTGTCGCTACGCCTCCATGTTGGAGCGACGCAGCGCGGCTCCGGAGCYCTCCTTCATCGGCCTGCCTCGGTGATTCTCGGTTTTCCGTTTGCCTTCGCCCGTCCGGATCTCGAATCCTGCCTCGCTGCTGCCGCGGTCCTCATCTTGACCCGCTCGTCTCTCCTCTTTCCTCCCTCTCTCGCTCTCTCTCTCTCCTCGGATCGTACAGATGCGCAGCTCTGACAGCCCCCTCCCCTCCTCCTCTTCCTCCTGCCTCTCTGTCCCTTTAAATCCCACCTTGCCACGTTGTTTGAAAGTCTCAAAACCCACTGTGCGATGTGCTACGCGTTTATTATTAGAGGTAATCAGCTGTACAAACACATGGAGGCTTCATAAATGTAAATGGTAAACATTATAGTTGTTTTTTACTGTTTTAATTTATATTGCCACGCACCTGTGCGTGCAGAAGCGTTATGGTCCATTATTATATGGAGCCCATTAAGAGCCATAAATAAAAACAAAATATGGGAAAGCCAGTATCTCTCTTGACTGGCTGTTTATAGCAAGAAAGTGGGTGAACTGAGCTCTATACTGTGGGGTGCCGTTTGTAAAGTTACAGTCAAAAATTACCACCAATATTTTTTGTTTTATTTAGCCTTTTATAAGTAAAAAAAAGAACAGATTTATTTTTCAAAGTCA